ATATTTTGTTATTTGTATATATTTATATATTTTAAAAAATCTAGTTGTTTTGCTTATAAATTACCTATATATCTATGTGCATATGTATATGCATATATCATTTGTGTGCAATGCCACCGAATCAGCCCATGATTATTCGAGGAGAGTTTCGTTTGCACTCCACAGTTCGTACAAAATGGGGCTACAAGACTCCAGAGATGTCTCATGGAGCTGCATTACAGCATCTGCCCATGTCTGACCGCCGCCAATGTCGATTGCAGCATGTAATTTTTCTAGGGGTAGGTGAAAAGGGCGTCTGCCATGTGTGCGGTGTCTATTTAATTACAATTGTCGCCGCAATCCGTGTCCATGTGCGAGGCGAGGCGATGCGATGCGAGGCAATGTGATACGATGCAATGCAATGTTGCAGGGACAGCGGCAACAAAATCGCTGCAATTAACGCGCTCTGCAACTGGGGACCGAGTGGCGGACAGTTGGGAGCTTGCTGTCCGGCGAGACCTTTTTCGATGTGCGAGGCCCATTTTGTGCGATTATTTTACGCTCAATTATTGTTAAATATTTTACAAAATGCGTATACTTATACTCACGCATCCCACGAATGCCGCTGCCATTGCGAATTGCAAATTGGCCGGGATCGCCGTGGTGTCATGTCCATGTCCTGCTCCCGGGGTTGTCCTAATGAGATTGCAATTATTTGGCCATAAATTTTTATTATTTCGGCTTTAAAGTTCATGAACTTTTATCGGGCAATTGCCTGTGCGTGTATGTGTGTGTGGCTTTGTTTTTGTAATCCACAAAAATGCATTTACCGTTTTGCAATGACATGATTTAATTTGAAATTATTTTGTAATTAATTGGACCATAACGTTGAGTGGACAATATAATTAAATACATAATTAATGGCCATGGGTCCAAAAAGGCACTGATCTAATTATGCGCATCCATAGGTATTTTGCGATAATATACATATTTCGGAGTCATCACTCATTATTGCTGTAACGTCAAAAAGAGATATCACTCGATTGGTTCGCGTTGTGCAACCACAAAAGATACTATATGATACTAAAATGTATTTGATAGTTAAATATCTCTATATATGTATTTCAATATATTTTCAGGTTGCTTACTCGAAACCGAACTCCTAGGAGGCTGAACCGAAGGGATCTAATTCTCGGATCTCCTGTTATGATAGTCAACAGAAGTTGACGCACAGCTGCCATCATACTATTTTGTTATATTCTTGTAAATATTTGTAAATATTGTAAATATTAGTGACAGTTAACACAAGGTAGCCGGCGCGCCCAAATGGGCAGAATAATTAGACAATAAGCTCACAAAGGGGTAACTGGAGTACCTCGTATAGCTTCAATAAACATTAATCAACATTATTATATTTCCATAGATGCCAAAGCCAATCCACCTTCTTTGGATATCAATGGCATTATGTTTGTTGCAGTAAAAACTAGACCAAGTGTTCTCCTGTTAGATATATGAATTTTAGAGATGGTGCACCTACCTTTACTTTGGTCTTTTGAAAAAAAGAGAAAAAAAAAAATTGCGACACGTGTAAAGTCTATATTGAACTCTTTCAACGTTGGAAACCTCTGCAAATATTAAACAGCATTCGCAGTGAATACTGAAGTACTTTTCACTACGCTTTGGCCCGACAGCCCATGGAAAAACACGTACAGAAACATTCTACTCGTACTGTATGTCGCATATACTCTTTATCGATCAAACACATTTCCACTAGCTTGGGCAAGAGCATTGTGATTCTTTCATTGAGTTCGTAACCCTAATCTTGATATATGTATTTGCTTCTTTTTTATTGAGATTATTTCATATCGATCTCGGCAAGCAGGTAACAGCCAGATGAGTATATTCTTCTTATGAGTATATTTTGATGTCTTTGTGAAGCTAGCTGAATTTGAATTTTGTAACTGTTCCTAATTATTTTGACGTTCTCAGGCATTATCTGGGTAATGTTGGCATTTGGTGTAATACACAAAGGAAATCTTAGAATTTTGATTTTGTAAGTCCTATGCTCATCATATTGTCCCGCGTAATTCAACTAATAGCCAGTCGATTTTCATTTTAATCACGATTTAAATATGCCAAGCCTTATTGGGTAATGCAAATTAAAAGTTCTAAAAGATTTCACTCGATAGAAGTAGAGCCTAGTCCTTATCAGGTTAACAGTCTATGCGTACAAATATAGATACAACACCTGTTCCTAAAGAGTATAAGCACTATTTTGCAGTCAAAACAGATTTTTCCGCTTATTTGGCTTTGGTTTTCCCAAGCTTTTTTCAGCCGTCTGCCTTTTCGCTCATTCGCCTCATTGTTTGCATGTGTACAAGAGGACTCTGAATTCATGGAGATCACGCACAGAGTTTGCCTCTTTGGTATTTAGGAACGGTCCGAATGGAACAACTGGTGTAATTTTTATATTCTGATGTAAAATTTATATTCACATATTTATGTATATATGAAATACATTATGGATTATTTGATTAGTTCGGTGTAAAAAATTAATAGCCTTGATAGCTTCATCAGCTATAAGTCTTGTTAAATCTTCTTAAATTCTATGCTGCTGATTGATATTAAAGTTTATTCATACAACCTTTCTTTTATTTGTATGTGAAGGAAGGAAACGAGTCGCAATTTAAATTTAAAATTATTGCTGGGCATTTGTAATGGTCGCAACTGCGTCAAATGTTTTAATTGCGGTGCTGGTAATACAACAACAACAACAAGCACCATGGCCGCGGTAACAGCGTGAGCATCTACATCAGCAGCCGCTGCATTCACAAATTATTGGCAGACTTCAAAAAGGCAATGCGCAAAAAAAGGACAATGCGCAAAACAAAAACAAGTATGAAAGCTCTAGTCGAGACTGCTCGACTACGAGATCCCCTGAACCCTTGGAGCAATAGATATTTCAATAATTTTTCGCGTCTTWCAGCTTACACAAGAAACACGCCCACACACACACACAGGCATACATACACACACACGCATACA